CGTTCATGATATTAATCTTACACCAAGTGATTTTATTATTACATATTTCAGTTGAGCATTCATTATCAAGAGCCTTAGAACACTCACCAGGAGTAAATAAATCCATGGTTATATAGAGTTTATGCTATTAAGAAAACCATTACGTTTTAAATACATGGCTGCACAACCTGAATTTGAACCATGTCTAAAAAATTCCCTTAGTCCTAGGCAATTAGATTGCAACTGTAGTCTCTCTTCTGGAAATGACATGTATTTTCTCAAAAGAAAATAAATCAAACAACGAAACTCATTTAGAAACGAATTAACAAATACATTATAATGAATTAATGTATCAAAAATTGAAAACGCACATTTTCACTTACAAACAACTTAACTATTCGTTCATCAGAAGATGAAGTCCAACAAACAAACTCTTCTGGAAATCAGTTAACTTTCTAACTCGAAGGAGAACTTGAAGTCATGCTCAGAAAATTATGGCTACTTGTCCACAGAGTTTGACGTAAATGGTCCTTTATTATGATGCTTTTCTTTTTATGAAATTAACTTGTGTATAATACTTACAGAAAATTTAGCTTGTGCAAAATTGGACACCAAACACGGAAATATGTACAACAACATAAAAGTTAACATGGATGGGGCGACGGAGAAACGTAATATTCCGGATTATGACAATATCTCCGTAGGTTGGTGTCTGTCCACTGTGGTTCTTATGTAATGTGTTCATTGTAAACATTTTCCTAAGATTCACTGATCTGATTATTAGAAAAAAAAAACGATTTAAGAATGATATATAAAATTAAAGATAATTAAATTAAATGTAAAATCAATGAGCCATTTAAAAAAAAAAGACGATCCATCAAGTAATTGAATGGAATACGAAGTAGCTAAATACGATCTTGAATCAGTGAGATTTACTCTGTGTTATAGATTCCACGAGTTCCGATGATTCAATAGAATTTCAAAAACGACAAAATAGAGACTTGTATCAGGATTGATGATAAACTGAGGTAGTGTTATATTCTCAGCATGATGGGTAACCGGTAAAATTGATATAGGTAACCGGTGTATAAGCATGATGGACAACCGGTAAAATCGGTAAAGGTAACCGGTAAAATGAGCATGATGGGTAACGGGTAAAATCAGTATCGGTTACCGGCGAAATGCGTAAATCAGTATAGGTAACCGGTAATAAATATGATGGGTAGCAGGTAAAATCTGTAATCGGTGAAAAAACATGATGGGCAACCGGTAAAATCAGTATAGGTAACCGGTGAAATCAGCCTGATGGTAAAGGGAAAAGGAAGCATGATATTTACTAGTTTATTTGTAAACGAGTAAAACATTAAGAGAAACGATGAAAGCAATACTGAGTATGAAAGCAATATTTTAATCGAAAACAAGCACTCATTGTGGGTGTCTACTGTTACAAAAAACATGATAGGTGTCAGAAATGCATGTTTGGTAAACGGTAAAAATGCATGATGGGTAAAGGAGGAAAAAAGGATAATCCACAAGCCGTTTAAAAATGAATGTAGGCATCTTAATTTAGCTTTTATACTCTTTTAATTAACAACGCGTACATGAATATACTAACTCTTGTAATTGTTTTCAGAGGGAGACAAGATTCCATGTTGTTAAGTAATTCGAGAATGCTACATTGCCTGTACTTGTATATCGAAAGGCTCTTATTTTGTATTGTTTTATGGACTTTGAGATTGAATACTGTTCGTTATCTTCGTATCCTTCTTGTTTAATGTTAATGTTAATGATTAATGTTAAGGTATAAACCTGTCAACAGAGGTCGCTCACTTCTCACTGGAATTTCTAGTCGTCTGTGTTTTATGCCCTCTTTACATAATTGATTTGGATTTTATTTAATGATAACTATAAGATATCTTACCATTTTAAAATTTGCAAGAAAAAGAATAATGTGAAAAATCTATAAAATGGTCTTAAAAGTGATTTATTTATCATTTATCCACGTTACTTTGTACCAGAAGATCATTATTATGCATATATACAAATGATGTGAAGTTACATTAAAATTAAAAAAGAACTGTACAATAATGATCATTGTTTTCTTATACGGAATAAAAATTACATTTTTGCATGATTTTTATAACTTAAAATCGGTATAAATGTATGTATTTTAAGTGCTTTAAATATTTTTATATTTTTCACTACATTCTCTTTTCAGAGCTAGACACAACGCAAAGTAGATCAGACAACGAAAGTGCAAGAAAAGATATTTATGATAACGTTAATTCAAAACCAGACCTTATTCAAGAAAATGGCTTCATATATGACGTACCAAGAGTAACGTATGACAATTTGAATTCAAAAAGTGACGTCACAAACGGAAATGACGTCCTATATGACAAGCCTAGGAAAGTGCTACCTGGGATACCGAACACAGAAGATGCTATCCAATCAGAATTGGACGATATCGCCGACACTCATTACGATTTGGCGGACACAGAGTCACATGACGTGAGAAATGGTCTCTCCGACCATGACGTCACTGTATTATTGGACGAAATAGCCGATCTCTCATGAGCTTTTCACAGACATCACAGACATGATATTTATACTTCTAACTACATACCTGTTCATGCTTGTGTATAAAGAACATTTTTATATAAAAATGACATATTTCTTTTGTTAAGAAGCAGTATTGTTTTGAACATGTTTTGGAGAAAATATATTGACATCAATTGCCTTCTGCCTGATTTAAGTTTGAAAATTAATGTGAGTTTGGTATACGTCTTTATAAGGTTGTTTTAATTTCTTTCAGATCCTTTTTATCGTTATTTATACAAAATATATATATTATAAGTGAGTTATTCAAATCTGAATATTATTGATCACATAAAAATGATTGTACTTTATTTGCATTATATATTTTTATTGTTTATGCTCAAATTTTACTTATGCATATCAATGTTTCAAGGGATTTATTTTTTAAAGTTTCCATAATTTTTATATTTCTAGTGATGTTGTAGAGCTGATGAGTTATTTTTGATAGAGATATGCAGTTTAGAATTGAAGTGAAATTTATAAGCAGTTTTAAAATCACGATTAAATCTGCTTGTTTGATAAAAAAAAAACAAAAAACCTGTCAGATGAAGTTACCGGGTTCCATTCCATGTATTTGTACAAACATCATATTATGCATTGTGTCCCATGTTATTCATGTTTTACATCCAAATTGTATTATATTTTTAATTTTACTACTAATGGGTTCCCCTATTTATTATGTACATTTGTATATAGAAATCTAACTATGAATCAGTAGGAATCACGTGTCTTGTTCCCGTGAGATTTATGTCACGTGTTTTATTCCCGTGAGATTTATGTCACGTGTTTTGTTCCCGTGAGATTTATGTCACGTGTTTTGTTCCCGTGAGATTTATGTCACGTGTCTTGTTCCCATGAGATTTATGTCACGTGTTTTGTTCCCGTGAGATTTATGTCACGTGTTTTGTTTCCGTGAGATTTATGTCTACATTTATCTTCATTTGTCTCATTTCATCAAGCATAATATAAGCTCATCTCTGTTTCACTGATGTATTGTACATATTGTTGTTATTGATCTTTACGCATGCTCAGTTATACATTTCATGATGAAAACATCAATCACATTAACATTTAATTCATGTTTCCAATAAGTTGATTACTTTATTGTTAACACGTTCTTTTCGCAATAAATTATTTTTATTTACTTTTATTTTATTTTTCATTTCATCAACACAATCTTTATTCTCTCTTTTGGAAATAAGATGAAAATGTCTTACGTGTTAGATTCTTGTTTGTTTGGAAGAAAATGTTTAAATTACTTTTACCTTATTTTGAAGATTTATTGCACGTATAAAAACTAAGCTGTAAACCACACGAACGGTCAGGCAACTTATACCTGGTTCGATAAAAATTGTTTGAAATATGGCGCATTTATAATACTTATAATATTAATGTCCATAAATTGTTCTTTAAATAGCAGTAATTTTTATAAAAGAGGAAGTATTCTGGTTTTCATTTACATAATAAAGATATTTTTTAAAAATTATTTAAAATAAAAATTAAAGTTGATTTACATGGAGAAACTCTTTGTAACCCCCCCCCCCCAGATCTCAATGTTAGCCCACATTATCAACATACTTTTAATCCTTGTTTCGATAGAGGATGACAGAGGAACTTGGTTCATCTTCTGAAGCACTTGCTAATTGAATATGTATGTCTAGGGTGCATTATTTGCATAAAAATTAGTCATATTGTCCTGATGCTCAATGAAGAACTTCAATTATTTTTACAGAAGCTTGGCTAAAAGTTTGAATTGAAATATTTTGTAGTATTTTCAGCATTGTATGTAGCTAGAGCATTCCAAGTTAAAATATGCAAGACCAGTTCATTAAACTGAGGTTATTATTTTTTTAAAATCAAAATTGAAATTTCATACTTGAAAATGACAAAGCAAGGGCATGTAAAGACAGTCTTCAGACGAATATTGCTGGATCTCATTTTTTGTACTCCCAATTTATATCGAAAATAACTATTAGTTTAGGTTTAAAAGATATAAAAATTCATTGATGAAAAAAATTAATCTTAATATAAAATCTTGCTGCAGAACAGTTATCCCACGCGTCCTTCTGGGACGTGAAGGTAAACTTAAGTATATTCAATGAATATTCTAAAAGAATTAAAACACATATGAAAATACTACTTGGGTTTATGGTTGAAACAATGAAACACATGGAGATACCAAACAGTATTTAATATCAAAAGTAAAAGATAAAAAATAGGAGCAGAGCTAACACGGACCTCCAAAAATCAGAGATGAGATCAGGTGCCATGGAGGAGTGAGCGATTTCCCTGCCGACCGGTCACATCCACCGTGTGATCCTTGTTATGATCGGGAAATAACGGAAAAAACCGTTGTCAATTCAGTGTATAAATAATGGACTAATAATTGATATGAAAAACGTCAGTCATTTACTGTCTAAGTAAACCATGTTTCGAGAAGTATGTCAAACATCCTCCATTGTAAATTCTCTTGGAGCTAGAAGAATTTTTAACAACCTGCGACACCCATAGATTAGATAAAACCACTTTATTTTTAACTCTCTTATCTTAACTTTTTTCAACGCACAGACTGTTTCGAAGGTAAGACCATAGAAGTTATGTTCTTGATTTCGTCTTTTTTGTGCTTTTAAAGATTTCGTGAATATTCAACAAATTGGATAACTCCAAAGGAAAAAAAGATTATATACGACTAGAAAAAAAACCCTTCAAGATGAAGACGACTGTGTCATACTCTACTTGCAAATATCATAAAAATACTTTTGTTTTCTAACTTTAAATTGTTAAAAAGATGAGAATTATGTGCAAATTTTTCAATGTAACAATAATTTTTTTTTCATAATATGATTACTTGCAATTATTGCGGAAAACACATGTACAGTTTGATATTTTATTCAGCAATACTTACTACCATTATCAGTATAAATTTGGCACACAAAAACCACCTTCGTATCTCGATTTATGTCTAAGTTCAACATTCTAGTCATGATCGGGGAAACTGAAGAGTCCATGGACAATTCAATCTTTAAAAGATTTTAAAACGATAAGTATGAAAAACATAAGACAGTTTGCTGGGAGTGTAATGGTATTCACATCAGCACATTCAAGCAGTTGACTTTAAAGGAGTCTGTTGATTTCCGTGGTTTAAAAACTTGCTTGTCAATAACTTACCTCTTTTTGGAATTTATTCGTTAGTGCATTTTTTAAGAATCAATTACAACTTGGACAGGAAACATAAGCCCTATGTGCAAGTGAAAGGTTTATATAAATTGATTGTATATTTCTACGTCCCTCTTGATTTTTCTAGATTAATGTTCAACAGAGAAGGAGATATATGAAAAGAGGTTCAGTTAATATACATATATAGTAATTCATTTATTTCACGTGTATACGAGGGATTATCAAAAAGTTCGTGGACAAGCGCCATAAAATTAAAACCGCTCAAGGTACATCAATGAATTTTGAAATATCTAGTAAGCATCATCTTTTCTGTCCAAAGACTAAACCACAAATCATGAATTTTCTTTTCTTAATAAATTAGTAATGTTTTTTGTAAGCAATGGTATGTCCAAGCGGCGCGACCTCGAAATCGACGTTTTTTCGACCTATGTGTAACTGAGAAAAACTCATTTGATATGATTATTTGACATCCAAAAATACCGTTAATTCAGGTATGTGTCGGGACATAATTGCTCTATAAAATATGAAATTTTCACTTCATTCTGGAAGTTCTATGAAATTTTATCGTAAATATTACATGGAATGTCTAAACAAATGAGTCCTTTAAAATGACGTCAAAAGGGGGATGTGGTTTCCGTTTCCAACATTATATACAGATTTGCCCCTGAAAAAAATAGTATAGACCTAAAATATGTTGAAACTGGCTACAGAGAAATTATATGCATCCAGAGTACTTGTCTATTAATGTCAAAATAGATTCAGAGAGTAAAGGGATACACAGTTAATGTCGACTTGCAGTCAAGGTGTGAAAAATCAATCCCATCAAAAATGACGTTGATCATGTGTTGTAGATATTGAACTCTCAAAAGCAAAATATGCCGGCACAATCAAGCGCGGATCTATCCCAATGTATTAATCCATCTGAATTAATATATTCATTGGAGGCCACTGTTAATGACATTGTAAAGGAATAAAAACAAGGCGGTTTTAAGTCCTTACTCAGCTCCAGGGAATCTCATTAAAAAAAATGTATGAGGTAGAAGAAGATGAAATTGAAAAAACAATGACGTTATCGGACGTCATGAAAATAAACGACGACAGCGCCGGGTGATCATATAATGTCGTTTTCATTTTATAATAATTTGGCAAATAATGAACGTATCAGGCTAAAATTTTCAACATTTCCCTATCTTGTGTTGTTTTCTCTTCCATATAAATTTTGAAAGCACAGACTACATAGTACTAATTTTATAGCCTCAGTCCACGAACTTTTTGATAACCCCTCGTATATGTACACAAATCCTATCGTATGATCACTGTTCTATTCTACTTCAAACTTTTTTTTCTTATCACTTCATTTTCAATCTGTTTTGAATAAATTATTCTTCTTCAGAAAAAAAGTTAGTGAGATTTTTTTTGTATTTTATTTATTCAATTGTCCATTTGATATACATTTCAAATTGATTACG